AGAATTCTGGGCACAGAGTAATTCGAAAACTGAGAAGGTGGAAAAAGTTGAAAAATACGCTAAGTATGGAATTTATACTTTGATGATTGAAGGGTGGAAAGATAAGGGCCGTCAGATTAAAGGTAGATCCAACGATGGGGAGTATTAATTTGCACGGAGCTCAAAACGGACGCGTTAGGCGAGGAGGCGCAATAATTAAAGCGCCTAACACAACTGACAGTCGTGACGCGTGGCAGAAAACGGATGCGACAGAGAGGACTTAAAGCAGATAACTTTATTTCCAGTGATTAATGGGGAATTATTCGAAAAAGTGAGCGGGAAGCTTACCAGCTGGTCGATATCTAACGACGAACCATCCAGAAGGACGATAATGTTAATTCAGTCTTAGATCGAATCATTCAGACTCGACCAGAGTGGGGGGGACTAGATGATATGGGATATTATATCCACAAGGCTGAACCGGTCTGATTGACCGGTCGAGGAGGTCGTATTACGAGGAAGCCAAAGAAATCGAGCAGTTAACCAGTCGACCAGGCAAGGCTGTCGACCAAACTATCCTTCGACCAGATACGCGATCGAGCAACCTATTCGACCTCAGCGGATCGATTACTTCGAGGACTTAACACCACGCTGTTCGGCCTAGTCATAGGCGCGTGAAGGAAGCCTCTGACAGAATTCCAGGAGAATATTTACCCCATGTGCAGGGGGACACGTGTCGAGAAGGCAGTGGTGGATAGCGATAACCACCTCTGATAGCCTAGCCCATGTGCAGGAGGACACGCGTCCAAAGAGGATTGGTGCAGGTGATAGTGGCGACGGCTACTTCTGACACACGCGTTTGGTGTGTACGGACGGGCAGTTAGGGCAGACAGCTCATCAAATCCGGGTAGCCCTAGGTCAGGTATCTCACCTCTATATAAAGGGGGTGAGCCTTTCTTCTTCATCACGATCATTCTACTACTTACTCTGGAGAATTGATTGAATATACAGTGACTTAAGCTTCGGAGGCTCTTCACCGGGAAACCCCTCCGGTGTGAGAGTTCTTTGTAGGTGCACGACGTTCAACCGGTGAGAAGGAAGGCGATTACTCAAGTTCCAGCCGGTCGAGGAGTTTTGTGTTACCAAATATGTTATACATTTTATCTATATTATTTTATTGAAAATGTTATATGAAATTTAAATTGTGCAAAATTACATAAAACATGTCAAATTAAAATTAGAACACAACTCGTACGTAACGCAACTGATAATAAATTACATTATAATCATTTCAAAATATAAGTGTCACTTTAAAATTATAATTCAAAAATTCGATTTGACTACAATGTGATTCCATAAAATAATTATTTTAGTAAAACTTTATCATATATTTAAAAATAAATGTAAATAATATGTATAATTGTAAAAAATATATTGCTCCATTAATTAAAATGTATTTATTTTGTATATGCTATCCAAATAGAAAATTTTAAGTAGTTGAGTAATTTATTAAATTGTAAATAAATTACGTTCAAGTTATATTGACCAGTAAGTTATGAATAATTACTTAAATAATTTTAAAATTTTCAACCCAAATTTGAATTGCTTAAATTACCTCATATATTTCATATATCTATTTATATATTATCTCCAAGGTTTTAAATAGCGGGCTAAAACGTTTATGGCACTGTAGCTATAGCGGAGATTTAGCGGGATTTAGCGGCTAAATTGCACATGAATACAAATAGCGGCACGCTGCCAAAAAAAACTATTTCTTAAATAGCGGCAACTTTAGCGAGCTATTTATTTCCTTGATTATCTCACAATTTTTTAGATTTGTTGTTGGTTACCTTATCATTCAAATTTATCAACTAATTATGTATAGTCAAATTACAAATATCAAATTTATTTACTAATATTTGTTCAAAGATCTTTCTTATTTTCAAGAAAAATACATATCAATTTGCCGAATTATTATCAATACCTTATGACAAGTTATTATGGGAATATGCTAAAATTTGAGAATTATATCACTCGATTTTATAACAAATTAACCTAAAATTCGACTTTCATACTCATACCAAATAAAATTCATACCACTTATTTTATTTTTAAAATTTACAAATACACTTCTATCCGTACCAACTAAAATTCGTACCAATTAAATTCAAGCATTTTATACCAAAATAAAATCACCATTTTATTCCATAAGTTCGAATATTTATTAATAACAACACATTTCCTACCAAAAAATAGAAATGGTCATGAGATATCTCAAATAAAATCATCCACTTTATACTAAGACTCAGATTTATTAATTTTGTCAATTTTGTACCATAAATTGATTAGTTAATTTCTAGAGATGGAATCATTTTATAAAATTCAAAAAATGATTACTAACTTTAATAATTTTAAAATTTTTAGGCGGGTTTTTATATCTATTTTAAGTAAATACAAATATTTTCATATATATAGATTACTTTTCTAACTCAAATCACACTTAACTTTAACAAATCCCACTATCCTTAAAATTATCAATATAAATAAATAATGTCAATTAATCATTTTTACACATTACATCAATTTTAATTTATTATTCACTCACTCACATAATTTTAACTAAACATCACTTCACATCTATTTCCTACTTTTATATCAAATCAAGTTTAATTATTTAATTTAAATATTATTTTAATATAAATTCAAAATCCCACTAACAACTAACCATACCACCCACCTAATTCTCTCTCGCCGAAACCCTAACCTCCTCGTCCTCGCGTCGTCATTTCAAATTTTACTCACCTTCCCCGACGAATAACCGGTCCTCTTGCCGGTGGATGGCCCTTAGTCGCACTCTCTTGTCTCGATTCTGCTCCATCTCCAATCGGTTTGTGCCAATTGAGGAAGTCAGATGTTTGACGAACGGTCCTCATAATGTGGTGGTTGCCGTTCGCGAAAATCTTTCTCGCCTCTCTAGTTTGTGTGCTTTGTCGGATGGTGGTGTTGGATCGAGGGAAGGGCGTGTCCCTGGCTGCTCGCTAATGTCGAAGGCGGGTTGGTTGGGGTTGAGGGCGAGGCTTGACTCCCTATTTCTCCGCTCCTTTGGTGCGCATGACGGGGAAGACCGACACTTTGGACCTAGGCCAGTGATGATCACCGGGTTTGGGGTAGTGGTGTGTGGGGCGGGGTCTGGCTTTGTTTGTCCAGCTTTGGGTCGGCTACTCGCTAAGAGTGGTTCAGGCCTCCGGGGCGCGGCTTCAGTTAGACGATTAAGCAATTTGGGGAGTGGCGCTCTGTACTTCGGGTTAAGCTGTGGGGATGGTCGACATTTATCTGTTGGTTCCTTATGCGTAGCTTGGTTAGCCTGATAGGGAAATGCTTTATTGTTTGTTTTAGCTTTGTTAGTTTTCTTTGTTTTGGTGTTGTTTATGTTCGGTTGTTGTTTAGGATTTGTGTTTTTGGTTTGAGCTGTTGGTCTCAGTGAACCCGAGTGTGAGCGGGTATTGTTTCGTTGGGATCTTTCATTTTCCTTTGGGAGCTTTGCAGTGTTAGTAGTGTTTGTTGTGTTGTGTGTGTGTTGCCGAGTGGTTTCTAGCGTTGCTAGTGTCAGTTTCTAGGCGTCTTCAGATCTGTTCTCCTAATTTTTTCAGTCGTTAGTTGTATCATTCGACTGGAGGTTGTATCTTTGTACATTTGTGCGTTTTATTTATAAAAATCTCTATTATTTCGAAAAAAAAACTAATCATACCACATTTTTCAAATTTAACCAAACCATTATATCCCTTAATTAATTATACAAAAAAGAATATTTGGTGTGTAATTTGATGATAAAAATTATTGACAATTAAAGATGTGTGACAAATTGATGATAAAAATCAAGTAGATTAGGTATAAAATATTCTGTTAAATTATACACGCTATAAAAAATTATGAAAAAATCAAATACATACAATACTCAAAATTACTTCATTCCAGTAGTAATACGATATTGAAAAAACTCTAAATTACTTCTTATATGTTGCAAATATTTCGTACTATCAATTTTTAATATAATCATATATATACTTTACTTGCTTGAGGTATTCCATAAACCTAATTTTATTCTAGCTTTTTGAAAACAAATTTCCGGATTTATTGTTGAAAACAAATTTTCGGATTATCTAATGTTAGTACTTAGTAACATAATTTTATTCCATGTTAACAATATTTGTAAACAAGTGAGTTAGCTAATGTTGGTGGGAAATTTGCTTTCAACGTTATATAGTATGAATATATAAAATGACATTAGTAAGCAAGTGAATTATTAAAATTATATTTTCACTAACAGGTAAGCAGGTTGAAAACAATATTGTTAAAATATGTGTAACAAATTTTTTAAGGTTGAAAACAAATATAAAATGCCATTAGATAGTATGAATATTTAATAATTTTTTAACAATATTTGTAGCAATGTGAGTTAGTACACGTTTTTAAATGGTAGTAGCCGTAAGACTTTGTACCAAAACAAATTAGCACAATATTGCAAATTTCCAAATATACAAAATCAAGATTTGGCAATTATTTCTTCACATTAATTAGATTGATTTTTTAATTTTGAATTTCAAATAATTTCTGCCACTTTTCAAAAAAGTTTAAAAATTTACTAATAAAAGTAAGATTGAAATATTTTGGCGGGATTTTAGATACTAGTAAATGCCAAACCTTTTTGAAATATTTTGGCGAGATTTTAGATACTAGTAAATGCCAAACATTTTTATATGTATATAGATTCCATTAGTTGGCATTAGGAAGACAAAGCATTATATAATCATATTAGACAAAAGTTGCAAACTTGAAACGGGTAAATTACATACCATAGCGACGCACTACTTAAACACAGCATAGTTACAAAAGGATGTGCGAGCATAAGCCAGAAAATCAGAGGATCTGATGAAAACACAGTGCAAAAGCCCCAACACCAACAAAACATCTTGATTAGCAATAAATATTGAACCAGTAGAAGCCAAATTCGTCGACCTCACTCATGCTGTGCGGTTGAGGAAAACACGTGTAAGCACAAACTTCGTCTCCAAAGAAGCCTTCAACAACTTCACCGCCTATACAATTTCAGTGAATTCTAATAATCCATTACAGCATACATATAAAATACTACGTACAAAACTGAAAAAATATAAAAGTTCATTGTATAGGGCATGAAAAAGTATGGGTGTTGATTATATTAGTTTAGTATTACCTCAGTCATTCCGAAACTCACGACCTTCTCCTCCAAAGCACCGACTTCCTTGACATTGAACTTATTAAGTAGAGTAATACTTGAAATAGTGGACATAGGAGACACAGACAAATCATCCATCACCATGTACGTCACCACCCCCTTCACGAACCCACCTTCGGCACCAGACGACACGCTTTTCACAACGGGTGGGGCCACGTAAGTCAGATCTCTTGACATTAATTGCTTGCAATAGGGACAGGTGGCATTTGGGCCATCACTAACATAGTTCATACAGCTACTACCATAGCTGCACCTATAGAACTTTTTCCGACCAGCACCTGAGGACGAGTCCTCGAGAGCCAGTAGAGGAACAGCTGAGGAAGCTGTGTAGGACGGTTTGAGGAGGGTGTCTTTTGCCTGGTCGGCTTGAACGTAGGAGTCGTTGAGGTTTTCTATGCTCTCGTACAAGTTGGCTATCGACCCAACCATTCCTTGTTTTCCGACCAGATCGATCAACTTAGCCACCGGCAGAGAGAGTATGTAGAAGAGGAAATCCACGCAGTCTTTGCCGGCCTCCGCGAACAGCACCCTTTTGGCTCGGGTGTCTATCAGCAGCTTCAGGCTTATTGAGGAATTTGCCATTTTCCCTCTGGTGTTTACCATTACCAATGTGTTTGTACCGGACTTTTGACGCTTTGTTTGTCTGCGTCTATTTATAAAGTGCCGCGGGTCTTTAAAAAATGTATTCCCACCATTGTTTTTAATAGTTCGTTATTGCTCCCTATATAGTTTATTTTCAGAAAAAACGCGACGTAGCCTTATATATTTAGCGTTTTTCTCGAAAAGCTTGCGCAAAATGTCAAAACTTTCTTATGCTATTTTGAGTTATTTCACGCTAGTGTGCGCTAATTGTGCTATATTTCTACAACGACATTGGAACTATAAAAGCTAAAAATTTTGATAATGATTTCAAACTAAAAATTTGAAAATGCAAAATCCTAAGTTGAATGGTGCAATATTTATCGTTCCATTTTTATTATGTTCTTTTGTTTTAAAAAAAAAAAGTTTATATCTAATTGTTAGAATTAAATTGTAGTTAAATAAAATAATAATAATTAAAATGCATATACTTAAAATTATACTATGACTTACCTCATTACATTTTCGTTGTTTGTTTTTAATTTTTAGTATATCAGTTTATTATTTAATATTTATATTATGATGATATTTACATTAAACATTGTGAAAAATAATTCTTAAATGTTATTTTTTAAGTCATTCAAATACTATGATAATTTTTGTAATTTTTTTTTCAACGGATAATTTTTGTAATTAATCATCCAGTTTTATTATATGCAAATATATTTATAATATTTCAACAAAAAAAATATACCTATATAGATTACGTAACACACTATGTTATTTACGCTACACAGTATAAAAACTAAAACCTTACGAATTAGGCTATACGCATTTTTTTTGTTACTATATGCGTTTTAAAATACTTATTCGCACACATTTTTATTTGTATTTTCAAATAATTCTATATATTACCTGGGAATTTTCGATAGTCGTGACTGTTATTTTACATTTCAACTGATTTTTAATTTACTTTTTTATTTTATAAACGTAGCATAATAAATATTGTCTAGCTTTACTCTGTTCATCACGAATTCTACTTTACATATCAGTGATAATTACTCTGAAAAAACAAGCCTAGCCACTGGTGGGCTAATTCCTGCACAACATCAATCAAGACCCTTACTTGCTTACATGGGAAAAAGGTCATTGATTCTTGTTTGGCGGTGCTGACATAACTGAGGCAATAATTAATGACACTCGTGACTCGTCCAATCAATGGTTCACTCGATGCCACTCTCGCGGGTGGCACCCATTGGGGCGCAAATACTTAAGTGCTTGTTTGGGAACACTTCTCAAAAAGTCCATTTAAAATATGGACTTCTCCAAAATGGACTTCTCCATAAGTCTCTATCATTTACTTCTACATAATGGACTTTTTAGAGATACAACTTATCCATAAGTCCATTCTTAACTTAGCACCAAACATAAATATTTATTCAAATGGACTTTTACATCCAAAAGTTCATTTGAAAAGTGTTTCCAAACAAGCTAGTGTGTGGCAGGGCATTTAGTGAAATACACCTTCTCTAAAAGTGCGTGGAGTAAGTAGGTAAGGATTTTTTTTAAATAGGACATATGTCTCAATTCTATTGAACAATGAAATTCATATATCATATTATATAAATTAAATTATCATTCATATTTTGTATCAAAAAATAAAAATAAAAATACCAAAATTCATAATTTTTCATTCTCTACAAATAGAGATCACATTTGATATTTTTTTAAACACAATTAATTTATCATTTTTTACAATTAATTTATCCTATTGGAAGATTATGACATAAATCTATAATTAGATGAATATGTTACATAGTAAGATGAACATGTTATAGAGTAAGATGAACATGTCATAGAATAAGATGAAAATAATACATTTTCACAGATGAAATTTAGATGGACATGTTCTAAAATAAGATGAACGTGTTACATAATAAAATAACATGTTATAGAATAAGATGAACATGTTAGATTATATAATGAACATGTTATAGAATAAGATGAACATGTTACATAATAAAATGAACATGTTATATAATAAGATGAACATGTTACATACACAATAAGGTGAACATGTTACGTAATAAAATGAACATATTAAATAATAAGATGAACATGTTACATGATTAAATGAACATGTTATAGAATAAGATGAACATGTTACATACACAATAAAGTGAACATGTTACAAAATAAGATGAATATGTATTGTTTCAATCTGCAATCTGTAACATGTTCATCATATTTTAAAACATATTCATTTTATTATGTAACATGTTCATTATATGTCAGTATAATAAAATAATTACGAAAAATTATGAAAAATTATGAAAAAACGAAAAATTAGTTGTGTTCAAAAAACCTATCAAATGTGGTCTCTATTTATAGATAATGAAAAATTATGAATTTTGGTATTTTTATTTTATTTTTTTAATATAAATAATTAATGATATTTTAATTTATGTAATATATCCCATTTTTCAATTAAAAAGGAAAATTGAGGATGTGAACTACACTCTCCAAATTTCTCTAGTATTGAGGAGTTTTGGGGAGTAAGGGGGCAAGTGCAAATATGCCCTGGCACACCTAGCTAGGTGTGCCAGGGCACACGGTAGTGGTACTGCCCATTGGGGTGTCTCTATTAATTTTTTTTATTTTATTATTATTATTATTATTATTATTAATAATATTATTATTATTTTATTATTTATTTACTATTTTTATTTAATAATTATTTGTTTTTGTATTCTTATTAGTCTTTTTAATTTTCTTTCACTTTTCATCTTCATTTCATAATAAAATTCTGAATGTTCAGTTTCATATAAAATATTGTATCTTATTACCTCTATTTTTACTATTTGTATATCTCGACATATATCAGAATAATTTTTTCTAAGGCTCATTCTTTTTAATTAGAACTCTAATTTTTTAGTTAATCGTTTGACTTGCTCTGATACCATTCTACATTATCGTTTTAGGTAGTCTTATTTTTGATAACTTTTTAAACTTTTGTTTGTAATTTTGTATATTATAATTTATTTGTTTAAATTTTTGCTCGTCTTTTTATATATATTATATTGAAATGTTGTTTCTATTAAATAATCTATTTCTTTAATTCCATTTCTTTCTATTTCATATAGTTCAAGATTTCTATCTCTCTTATCCATAAAAAAATTCTATATTTTTTTTATTTAAATTTATTACTAATTAGCTTAACTTTTTTTTTTTCAAAACGATAGATATTATAACTAAAAAGCAACTGACCAAGTACAATACAATCAATCCATGGGAGACTTACTCAAAGAGATCTAGAAACACAAAGCCAATACACAAGAAAAAACGGGGATGCAACCTTCGAAGACTTTCCCTTGCCAAATCAACTATCTAAAGGTGCTACCACACTACAGACTAAGAAAGCCAAAAAGGAA